AAAAAAAATATTCTCATTGTATTCAAGCTACCCTTCTTGTGAGCTATTCATTGATAATTAGCAGTCTAGTTCTGCTAAATAAGACCTTAAAGCGTCTCCGCATGCAGCTCGGCCGTATTTTCCCAAACCACATTCCTYGGTTTGATTTCGCTATTCATAACAGTCTCTTAAGAAGATCCTCCTTTCTCTCACATTATGAATCTAGAAAAACAGCAGAAATGTCTCTGTGTTGCACACAGGTGGGCTCCATCCAAGTGAGGCTCTGCCAGCAGAGCCGGGCTCGTTCCTAGCAGCTGAGGTCTGTGCTCATTGCCTATGCCTGCTGGTACACCACGTAGTTTCTTATTCTGCCTTGGGCCTTATTTTAGTCTTTCACTCTAGAAGAAAGATCTTCCATGTGTTTTATAGCAAAGCTTCACAGATTGTCCTGCAAATTGCAGCATGGCAGAGAGGTTTGTTGCAAATAGTTCATCTCAGCATTTTAGTGCTTTTCTCCTCAAGTATATATTGTAGGGCCGAACTATGAGAATCCTAGATGAAGTGACAAAACAGTTGTAAAGAGTCATCATTTTCAGGTTTGATTATCAGATTTGATATTTTCCTATGAAATATTTAATTTTTAATGTTCAGATTTGATGATCAGTATTTCAGATGTGATTATCGTGCCCTAATTCGAGCTGGATTCTTAATGCCGCACGTTCAYGTGCGTTCCCGGCCAGTAGCTCATCCCATTGAACGCCAAGTAAATACAAATGTTTGTGCCTGCCACAAACATCGCGTTGCAGAGCTTTTGTCTTGCTGGAAACCAAACGTCAGATAACCCAGCCATTCAAAAGGGAGTCACATTGCCATACATATTAAAAGCGGTTGCTTTTGATCGGCGCCTTTGAATGTCCGGCATAACTCCATTTGTGCGGCGCTCTCGGGGGACGCCCCAAGCCCGCGGCTAAGCGGGGCTTAGTTAATCAGGGCCGCCAGCTGTCCGGCTGCTGCGGCCCACGTGCCGCTGGGGGCTGCTCCGAGAGGRGTGTGCGCCCCGCTCCCGCTGCTGCCGTTCCGTGGGCTCCGCTCCCAGCTGCTCCCTGCGCCGGCCCCCAGGCACCGGAGAAGGGAAATGCAGGAAAAAAAAGGAAAAATAACAAAATAAAAGGGGAGCAAACGGCGCTGCCAGCAGGTGCAAGCGCTGCGATGCGCCACACGGATTTTTCTTCCCGTGTTGTCTGCAGGAAGTTTGTAAGAAGATTTATCACATATCTGTCTGCCTCCCCTAATGTTAAAACCTTATTTTTATTTATGTTTTTATATTATTTTTAGGACAGCAGCCTTAGGAACTTGCAAACCAAAGGCCACAATGCTCTGTTTATTCCCATATTTACACTCCTGGAAACAGCGTGTGGCATTTGTAAGCATCCTTATGCTCTGAAATTAAAACATATATATATACATAGTGTTGTAAAGTATTCTGGGGGTTCAAGAGAAGCACAAACAGCATGTCAGGGTGACCCAAGAGCAGTTGTCAGCGGCTTGCGGTCGCCGCTCAGCCCTGCGCAGGGTTTGCACCGGGGCTGCTCCAGCTCTCCTGCTCTCCAAGGGAAAACGGGCATTTCCCCCCAGCTAAGTCACATCCCATGGAGCAAATGCAGATCTTCAGCTTGCAAACTTTTTAAATTCCATTTTCTTTCTTTCTGTTTTTTCTTTCTTTTTTTTGTCTTTGCTTTAAATGGGGGAAATGAGATGTCATAGGGGCTCGGCAGCGCCTTGATTCAGAAAGTCGTACGTGGGGCTCTCCAGTCTATTGGAGATTTGTTTCAGGCGTTATCCTGTTATTAGAAGTGTCTGATTCACCTTCTGAGAAAACAGAAGCTGCGGACAAAAGGAAAAGCTTGGCTTTCTCCGCGCTGAAAAGCTGCCGCAAGCAGGGGTCCTATTAAGACAGCTGGAAAGTTGCTTCAGCTTGTTACGCTTGTAAGTTTTATTGGTGACTGGTTTTTGATTACACATTTGAATGCTGTGTGTTCCAGGTTGCCGCGTTTTAATTAAAAGGCAATAGTCTTGATTGTGGAGCGCTTTGTTGCCTGCATTATGCAGACAACACTGCACCCAAGTTCTCTTTTTTTCTTTTTTTTTTTTTTTTCCCTTCCCCCCTGCAATTTGTACCAGTTATTTAGGATTCATAAGACGACACCTTCTAGCATCTGCCTTAACAGAAACTTTACACTCCCAGGAATTACTGCTCTCTCTATGTGTATATATATTTCTAAGTACAGTGATAATTGAGTATGTGTTTTGTATTTGCCTCTCACTATTTTTTGTGCCTTACAGATTATAGCGACACAAATCTTGTGGGCAAGGATTGCTCCGAAGAGCCTTGGCTTTGGTTTAGTGGTTGAAAGAGCCACCAGGCACCAAGCTCAGCTCCTGCCATCGTCGCCGTTGCCAGCACATTGCCTCTCCCGGGTCACTCCGTGCAGGTGTTAATATTCATAATTTCAAGCAATTAAGTATTTTGCTGCTCACGTGCAGAAATGTTAGGCGATATTCTGAAATGTTGGGGTGCTCTTTTCCTTGCGTGAGGTGCATTTTTGGTGTGTGTTTCTATGCCGTCCACGGACACTGTGTAACTGCCCTGTGTTTTGCATACATTTCCTTAACCTGCTCGTTGCAGTTATGAAGAAAGAGCCCTGTATCTCGAAGCAATAATCCAGAACCATAAAGAAGTGATGACATTTGAAGATTTTGCCGCTCAGGTCTTTTCTCCCTCTCCTAGTTACTCCCTCGGTGGAACTGGTGAGTCCCTGCTCCTTTTTCTTCCCCTTCGCGCTAAGAAGCACTTGAGCAGCAGATGTACACCTGTTTTTTGTAGATAAATGCTTGCAAATTTAAGACACCCATTCTTCCCCTGAATCAACTAATGAATATCAAAAGGAACGATGACATTCATTTTAATTTGTTTTGCATCAGAGCCATTCACTCAGGCCCTTTCTCCAGCTATCCTGTTAACCCCCGCATCTTGCAAGGTTAATGAACTTTCCCGCAGTAATGTGCTCCGGTTCATTCAGGAGCGCGGGCTTCTCGCTGAGCTGGGAATACGCCGCTCAAAAGCTGCGCCCCACTCGCTGCCTACTTATCGAGAAATAGTTCCCCGCAGTAGAAGCCGTTGCTACTAATGCTAAATGGGGATTATGCTGCCGAGATACGGGGGTCAGGGATTAATGCAAAAGAAATGTAAGGAGGGTGTTCGGCTCGGCGGCCGCGGCCGCAGCGCGGGCTGCCGATGGCTGCCGCAGTCTCAGGCTTCCCCCCGGCGCTGCGGTTGGAACCTGCTTTGGGTCTGTACGGACGTGTGTGTGGTCGTGGGGGTGTGGATATTTATTTACACGTGCCCAGACGGGTCTGTGCGCCCGCTTGTGCTGATGGTYGCTCACCGGCCCGATGGCAAGGTGGAAAGCGAATGCAAAAGGCTGTGAGTTTATTGCCCGGGCGTCTGACCAAGTTTCTAAATCATCACTGAGGTAGGAACTGGGTTGTTTAGAGTAGGCTCAAATAAATGTGCTCTAAAATGAAGCGCCTGCTCTGAAAGGCAGGTTTCTAGCACCCTCCAGGTTTGTTGTTGCYGTCTTCCAAAGCAGTGGCGGGTCACTGCACCATGGCTGCTCTCATAAAGAGCCCCTAATCCCCTTTTTACACTCATTGGGTGAAACTGGCCCTTTCTAATTATTTCCTGATACTCCTTTTGGATTGTTTAATAGATTCTTCCAAACCTGTATAAATGCTGCAGGACATCTGCTCGCTTTCTCTCCAGCCCGACCAGCAGATATCTTCCATCTAAACCGCAACAACAAAAAAAAAAAGGGGGGGGGGGGAGGAGAAAGGGGGCAAAATTAAATTTACAAAAATAAATCACTTGAGAACTAAAATCCGCGGCGCGTCATTGTTTGACGTGGCTGGCCGTGAGCCCCGAGCCGCCCGCGCTTTGTTCGGAGATAAGAGGTATCCGCGCGCCGGAGCGGCCGCCAGCCGCAGCGGCCAGGAGGCTTTGGAGATAAGCAGGCTGGCGGGAGCGGAGCGAAGCCAGCGGCATTTCCATAATCACGGCCCCGCTTCCCGGCGAGGCGTCAAGAAACACAGGGATGGCCCCAATTGATCTGTGCTGAACTGGAATACTGAGCAACGGGAGCAGAGCTTATACCTTAAAGCTTTGATTAATGTTGGCGACATTAAAAAGTAGGACAGCTGTGGGTTGAATTCTTTGCTATACGCTGCCAAAAGTCAGGGACAAAAAAAAAAAAAAAAAGCAATGACAACAAAAAAAGAAAATTATCAATTTCAATAGAAATGGAGATTTCCTGCCCGGTGTTGCTAGCGCTTCAATTTATTTATCCATCAGCAAATAAAAACATAGATATGGTGGTTTATTCTCAAGGTTTTGCTTGATGTGTATGTTTTTTCATTTCTTGTTTGCACGCTCCTACCATAACCCCTAGTGATCTTGTTATAATCGAACACTGTGTAGGAAGGACAGACTGATTTGGTGACGCTGCAGGGCTCCCACTTTGTGAATTTTGGTCGTGCTTTCCAAATTGTGCAGTATATTTTGTATACAGAAAAAAAAAAACGTTCACCATTAGCTGCTTAAGTTATTCAGAACACTGTCAAACAATACGTATTTTAATATGATTTTTATGGTTTCATAGTTTTAYTTTTCCTTAGAGTAGAACTTGTCACAACCAGATCCTTAGAGTTTTTTTTGCACCTCCGAACATCCGAGGTTGGGAATTTTGGCTCCTGCTCAAAAGAACACCAAAGTTTTGGGGTCCAAATTGTATGGCATGTGTTGGCCCCAGGTTATCAATATATAATTCCTTTTGGCACAAACATAGGCAGACCAAAAGCTCAGCCATAGGCTTAAGAATTCAGCAGCATCCCAATCTCCCAGCAGCAACATCCCAGTCGCCAGCGTCCCCAGCTCCGTGCCGAAGCCCTGGTCTCCCGAATTGTCCTGAGTGGAGACCTTTATAAAAGCAATTTACAGTTGTGGGATGCRTTGGAAGTCGCACACAGCAGGCTAAGCTTTTCACTTCTGGCTTTTAGAAGATAACCAGGCCAGGAAGGAGGCAGCAGTAACTTCGGCACCGCAGCCCGTGCTCCCCCTCGCCTGGTCCTAGCCCCRAGTGTGTGAAAAATCCCTGCTGACGTCCACGCAATGCTGCCCTTGCAGCACGAGCTGAGCGCTCCGCAGCGGCCGGCCACCACGCTCCTTTGGATCTTTGCTTCAGCTTTCGTTCAAAATAAAGAACCAACTCGCACGGAATTCGCATGAGTTAATTGGCACAGATCTGTTCACTCCTCTAAGTGATGAGAAAGGGATTAAACACTCTTGCAGTTTGGTAGCAGCCCTGTGTTTTTCAGCGAACGGTCTGCTGAACGGTCCGTATGTCTCAGGTAGTCAGTCATCCTCCTGGTRAGGAGCTGCAATCCTTTTTATTAAAATTAACCTGGGTTTTAGTGGTTCCCGAAAAGCTACTCGAGGCTGTGATGTGATGTGGATATATAGCTGCTTATGACATACCTGATGGCTGCGTTATTAACAAGGATCCATTTATTTAAATTAAATGTGCTTTTATTTTTCCTCTCCCTGCCCCTAGGGAGGTTGCCCCTAGATGCAGCTGTGATACGGGCGTTTATCCGAGCACGATCCCAGCTCCCTGCATGCATGCCGGGTGCCCCCCACGTCCTGGGCATTGCCAGTGCAGGCTGGCAGGCCAAGCGAGCATCCCCGAACTCATTTAGGGGACGTGCAGATTAGGAACAAAAGATGCAAGCGCGGAGCTTTGTTGCTAACCGGTGCATTACATGCTGTATTTTAATTAGGCTGCATATGAGAGTCAACCCAGGAAATCCTCAGTAATCCAACACTATTGAATTATTCTTATCCTTTCCCTCTGCAGATTTCTCTCGTTTTAAGGATGGGGGAGGTTAGCCTTTCCTCATTCTTGCTCCCTTTACCCCCAAAATCGAAACAATTCTTCAGCAAACCAARCCATGCAGCAACTTTAAGAGATAATTAGGTGATACTCCCTTCAAAAAACCCTTACTGTTAAACATGCACAGACAGACAGCAGAACGATCCAACTTCAGTGAGCTCTGTTGACTGCAGAGTTCTGCGATTTAAGATCAGGAGGCAGGATGGGCTCAACTCGGAGAAGATGGAAACAGCAGGCAGCGCTAGGAAGGAGAAAAAGGGAGCCTCTTCGCTCAGAGGAGGCTTGAGACGGGACGAGTTCGCGCTCGCAAGGGCAGATTTCGGCTCTGAAGAGAAGCTGCCAATGGGTTTTGCAGCGCGGCAGCCCCGCGGTTGGTGCTTCAAAGGGTTAATTGAAATGGGCACACTTGACTGCTGAGAGGACTGATCTAATCACTGCCATATCCAAGTGCATCTGTTCACCATGAGGTCATTCTTGTGCATGCTAATGATTTGGAAAATAAAGCATCATGCTTAACGTTATTGGAAAGGATATAATGTCAATCTTCACTTTTTTTTTTTTTTTTCCTTTTGGTTGCCGATGGGATGAAAAGGAAGGCAAAAGGATCTGGGGTTATTTCTTGCCGTTTGGGATTTTCTGAGGGCCTTGTTTGCGGCGGAGCAGCAGGGAGCAGTGCTGCGAAGCTCCCACATGCGCTGGCTGCTGAGAAATGGGTCCTTTAATGAATATTATCGCATTGCCCAGGAGCAACACTTGAGCAGAGGAACTGAAGACATTTTTAGCGTTCCCGGGTCTTTAAAGCTTTGGAAGCCTCGCCTGCTTATTTACAGAAAGCTGAAAATGTGCAGGCTTTTCTTGTTGAAAAGGTGACACGTGCTTTCCTTTTGTTTCCAGGATTTTATAGGCAGGGATTTGTTACGGGAAATGCGTAAATGTGCAACAAACAAGGTTCGGTGTGTTTTTAAAACACTTGGGCAAATGGATGAGCTTTTAGGCTTTCCTCCTTAAAGCAAAAGGAATATTTCAAATGGCTGTATGATTTTAAAAAAAATTGGTAGGACAAAATGGAAACTCAGAGTAACCAATGTCTTAAACATCCCATTTTCTTATTTTTTCAAGCTATTTGAACCAATGTCTCCCTCATTTTTTTTTAATTATTCTTTTTTAATTTCTTGTCTGTGCGTTTTCCTTGAAAATCTGCAGAATATCAGCAGGATATTCTGCCAGCTGTGTGTTCTTGTTGGAATAAAATTGTCTCCAGGTCCTGCATAATGATTTTAAATATTTGTTCAGGGAAGCTCGATGGAGCTGAACACTAGGAGAAAAAAAAATCCATGTTTGGAAATAGCTGTGCGGTCATTTTACAGCACACTCCACACTTGGACAATGAGACCAGGTTGTCTAAAAGTGGTAAGGTAGCAATGAGAGTCTTGGCTGCGCAGAATTCCCTAATATTCCCATAGCCCCTCAATCTTCTGCTCAGCTCTCCTGTAAATACATTCAGATACTGTCTGTTCCCAGGAAAAAAAAAAAAAAAAGAACAAACAGCCACAAAAAGAGGCTGCTGGGATTAGCTGGCAGCTGGAGAAGGGCAGTTCCCACAAATGCTCAAAACTTGTGCCCTGTTGAGGTTGTTGGGCAGTAAACGAAGAGGGAAAAGCCTGAGATGGAGGAAGAGGAGGAGTTAGGGCAGGTGAGAGCCGGTGTAGCCCATGGCAGCGTCCCGGGCCAGCTTGGGCCTGGCCCTTCCCTGACGGATCCTGGCGCCCTTGGCCGGATCCGTGGCCTTTCCATGTGGATGTTGCTGCCCACAGCCTCTTCCTTCCTTCCTGCGACATCTTCCTTAATCCATCGACCTCTTTGTGCTGTTGGTGATAGGAGGGCTCTAACCACCCCTGGGATGGAAGTGTGTGAGGGAACACAAAGGGGAAGCGCCTGCACCCGCTCTGCTTCATTGGCCCTGCACGTCTTCAGGAATTCAGTCCTGTCTGGGTTGGCGGGAGCGCTCTGGGCATCTCCAGAGAGCGGGAGCGCTCCGGGCAGCGAGGCTGCAAGTGGGAGCGCTCCGGGCAGCGAGGTCCACTTCGGAGCTGTGTGGGGCCATGAGCTCCCGCTGTCGGCTCCTGCTCTCTGTTCCCATGGGTTTGGGAACGGGCCGGGCTCATTTGGCTAATGAAGCTGCAGTGACGAGCTTGAGGTCTTCACCCGGCTGCCGACGGCTCCRTTGCCGCCATCCAGGCTGCCCACCTTTTTATCTCCCAAGGGTCCAGCCGCCGTCGCTGCTGCTCTCCTCTGCTGGGTTTTGCTCCAGCGCGGAAGGTAAAGGCGAGCTCCAAACGCAGACTTCACACAGCCCTTGCTCATAAACATGGTGAACTCTCTAATGGCATCAGAGTAGACAAGACCAATGGCCAAAGCGGCATCGGTGCAAATGGGTCCCCTACGTTCCTACTTTGTAGTTTTTTGCTCTGCTGTGATGATTATATCCAACCAACCCTGTTCGGGTTTGGCTGCCCGCAGCCGCAGYGGGCCTGATTTACTGACCATTTCTTCAAAATGTGTTCCCTTGAACACCCACCCAGCATGCCCAGTTACGCTGTATTTGCAGCCAATCCCAATTTTAAAATAGAGCGTATCAAAGCGCTGAGCAGATTCACTGACGTCGTAACTCTCTCCAGGACTTTATTAACTTATTTTGTCCATCCCACTCGGTGGTTGGTGGCTGGTAATGCTGCACGGGGCTCCAGCCTCGTCCTTCAGGCYGGCGCTTTGCAAACCACCGCGAGCCGTTTTGCAGACGGGTGGCAGGGGCCGGCATGAAGCTCCCTGTCCGCACGGAGA